CTCACTCACCGACTCAATCACCGACCGACCCACTCACCTACTCAATCATTGACCCACTCCCTACTCACTCACCTACTCGTTTACTCACTCACCTACTCCATCATTGACCCACTCACCTACTCACTCACCTCCTCGTTTACTCACTCACCCATTCAATAATTGACCCACTCACCTACTCACTCACCTACTCGTTTCCTCACTCACCTACTCAATCATTGACCCACTCACCTACTCGTTTCTTCACTCACCTACTCGTTTACTCACTCACCGACTCAATCACCCACCGACCCACCCCTCGCCCCGACAAGTGTTGAGGGATTGTCACCGAACCCGCGACGCGATCGCTTTCACGGCCAACTCTGCGAGACGCACGAGCCGCGTGACCTTGAACGCAGCGCACGCGTGAAGCACGCGTGGCCACCCCGAGTGCACGGGCGGGGGTGTGGGTGTGTGAGGGGGTTGTGTGGGGGGTGTGTGGGGGTGTGTAGGGGGTGTGTGGGGGGGTGTGGGGGTGTGTGGGTGTTGGGGGGGGGTGTGGGGGGTGTGTGGGGGGGTATGGGGGGTGTGGGGGATGTGTGGGGGATGTGTGGGGGATGTGTGGGGGATGTGTGGGGGATGTGTGGGGGATGTGTGGGGGATGTGTGGGGGATGTGTGGGGGATGTGTGGGGATGTGTGGGGGGGCGTGGGGAGGTGTGGGGTGGGGGGGGGTTGTGGGGGGGTGTGGGGAGGGGTGTGGGGGGTGTGGGGGGGGTGTGGTGGGGGGGATGTGTGTGGGGTGTGTGGTGTTTGTGTGTGGGTGTGTGTGTGTGTGTGGTGTGTGTAGGGTGTGGTGTGTGTGTAGGGTGTGTGTGTGGTGTGTGTGGGGGTGTGTGTGTGGTGTGTGTGGGTGTGTGTGTGTGTGTGGGTGTGTGTTTGGTGTGTGTGTAGGGTTGTGTGTGTGTTTGTGTGTGTGGTGTGTTTGTGGGGTGTGTGGGTGTGTGTAGGGTGTGTGTGTGTGGTGTGTGTGGGGGGTGTGTGTGTGTGGTGTGTTGTAGGGTGTGTGTGTGGTGTGTGTGGGGGGTGTGTGTGTGTGGTGTGTGTGGGGTGTGTGGTGTGTGTGGGTGGTTGTGGGGTGTGTGTGTGTGGTGTGTGTGTAGGGTGTGTGTGGTGTGTGTGGGGGGTGTGTGTGTGGTGTGTGTGGGTGTGTGTGTGTGTAGGGTGTGTGTGTAGGGTGTGTGTGTGGTGTGTGTGTAGGGTGTGTGTGTGGTGTGTGTGGGGTGTGTGTGTGTGTAGGGTGTGTGTGGGGGGTGTTTGTGGTGTGTGTGGGGTGTGTGTGTAGGGTGTGTGTGGGGTGTGTTGTGTGGGTGTGTGGGGTGTGTGTGTGTGTAGGGTGTGTGTGGGTGTGTGTGTGTGTGTGTGTAGGGTGTGTGTGTAGGTGTGGTGTAGGGTGTGTGTGTAGGGTGTGTGTGGGGGTGTGTGTGTGGTGTGTGTGGGGTGTGTGTGTGTGTAGGGTGTGTGTGGGGGGTGTGTGGTGTGTGGGGGTGTGTGTGTGTAGGGTGTGTGTGGGGGGTGTGTGTGTGGTGTGTGTAGGGTGTGTGTGGGGTGTGTGTAGGGTGTGTGTGTAGGGTGGTGTGTGTGTGTGTGTGTAGGTGTGTGTGGTGTGTGTGGGGTGTGTGTGTGTGTGTAGGGTGTGTGTGGGGGGGTGTGTGGTGTGTGGGGGTGTGTGTGGTAGGGTGTGTGTGGGGGGTGTGTGTGTGGTGTGTGTGGGGTGTGTGTGGTGTAGGGTGTGTGGGGTGTGTGTGTGTGGTGTGTGTAGGGTGTGTGTGTAGGGTGTGTGTGTAGGGTGTGTGTAGGGTGTGTGTGGGGGGTGTGTGTGTGTGGTGTGTGTGGGGTGTGTGTGTGTGTGTAGGGTGTGTGTGTGGGGGGTGTGGTGGGGGTGTGTGTGGGGGGTGTGTTGGGGGGTGTGTGTGTGTGTAGGGTGTGTGTGGGGGTGTGTGTGTGTGGTGTGTGTGGGGTGTGTGTGTGTAGGGTGTGTGGGGGGGTGTGTGTGTGTGGTGTGTGTAGGGTGTGTGGTAGGTGTGTGGTAGGGTGTGTGTGTAGGGTGTGTGGGGTGTGTGTGTGTGTGGTGTGTGTGTAGGGTGTGTGTGGTGTGTGTAGTGTGTGTGTGTGTAGGGGTGTGGGGGGTGTGTGTGTAGGGTGTGTGTGGTGTGTGTGTGTGTGTAGTGTGTGTGTGTGTAGTGTGTGTGGTGTGTGTGTGTGTAGGGTGTGTGTGGTGTGTGTGTGTGTGTGTGTGTGTGTGTGTGTAGGGTGTGTGGGGGTGTGTGTGTAGGGTGTGTGTGGTGTGTGTGTGTGTAGTGTGTGTGTGTAGTGTATGTGTGTGTAGGGTGTGTGTGGTGGTGTGTGTGGTGTGTGTGTGTAGTGTGGTGTGTGTGTGTGTAGGTGTGTGTGGTGTGTGTGTGTGGTGTGTGTGTGTAGTGTGGTGTGTGTGTGTAGGTGTGTGTGTAGGGTGTGTGTGTAGCGTGGTGGTGTGTGTGTAGGGTGTGTGTGTGTGTGTGGGTGGTGGTTGTGTGTGTGTGTGTGTGTGTAGGGTGTGTGTGTAGTGTGGTGTGGTGGGTGTGGGGTGTGTGTGTATAGGGTCTGTGTGTGTGTAGGGTGTGTGTGTAGTGTGGTGTGGTGGGTGTGGGGTGTGTGTGTATAGGGTGTGGTGTGTGTAGGGTGTGTGTGTGTGTGGTGTGTATAGGGTGTGTGTGTATAGGGTGTGTGTGTGTGTAGGGTGTGTGTGTGGTGTGTGTGTAGTGTGGGGTGTGTGGTGTAGGGTGTGGTGTGTAGGGTGTGTGTGTGGTGTGTGTGTGTGTGTAGGTGTGTGTGGTGTGTGTGTGGTGTGTGTTGTAGTGTGGTGTGGTGTGTGTAGGGTGTGTGTGTAGTGTGTGTGTGGGGGTGGGTGTGTGTGTATAGGGTGTGTGTGTGTGGGGTGTGTGTGTAGTGTGGTGTGTGTGGGTGTGGGGTGTGTGTGTATAGGGTGTGTGTGTGTAGGGTGTGTGTGTAGTGTGTGTGTGTGTGGTGGGTGTGTGTGTATAGGGTGTGTGTGTGTGTAGGGTGTGTGTGTAGTGTGGTGTGTGTGTGTGTGGGGTGTGTGTATAGGGTGTGTGTGTGTAGGGTGTGTGTGTAGTGTGGTGTGTGTGGGTGTGGGTGTGTGTGGTGTAGGGGGTGTGTGTGTTTAGGGTGTGTGTGTAGTGTGGTGTGTGGGGTGTGTGTGTATAGGGTGTGTGTGTGTAGGGTGTGTGTGTAGGGTGTGTGTGTGTAGGGTGTGTGTGTAGTGGTGTGTGTGGGTGTGGGGTGTGTGTGTATAGGGTGTGTGTGTAGGGTGTGTGTGTGTAGGGTGTGTGTGGGGGGTGTGTATAGGGTTGTGTGGGTGTGTGTGTATAGGGTGTGGGTGTGGGGTGTGTGTGTGTAGGGTGTGTGTAGGGTGGTGTGAGTGTGGTGTGTGTGTGTAGTGGTGTGTGTTTGTGTGTAGGGTGTGTGTGTAGTGTGGTGTGTGTGGGTGTGGGGTGTGTGTGTAGGTGTGTGTGTGTGTAGGTGTGTAGTGTGGTGTGTGTGTGTAGTGGTGTGTGTGGTGTGTAGGGTGTGTGTAGTGTGGTGTGTGTGGGTGTGGGTGTGTGTGTATAGTTGTGTGTGTGTAGGGTGTGTGTAGGGTGTGTGTATAGGGTGTGTGGTGTAGGTGTGTGTGTAGTGTGGTGTGTGGGTGTGGGGTGTGTGTGTATAGGGTGTGTGTGTAGGGTGTGTAGGGTGTGTGTGTATAGGGTGTGTGTGTGTGTAGGTGTGTGTGTGTAGGGTGTGTATGTATAGGGTGTGTGTGTAGGGTGTGTGTGTATAGGGTGTGTGTGTGTGTGGGGTGTGTGTGTGTGTAGGGTGGTGTGTAGGGTGTGTGTGTGTGTGTAGGGTGTGTGTGTGGGTGTGTGTGTATAGGGTGTGTGTGTGTGTAGGGTGTGTGTGTAGGTGTGTGTGTAGGGTGTGTGTGTATAGGGTGTGTGTGTGTGTAGGGTGTGTGTGTGTGTGTAGGGTGTGTGTGTATAGGGTGTGTGTATAGGGTGTGTGTGTGTGTAGGGTGTGTGTGTGTGTGTAGGGAGTGTGTATAGGGTGTGTGGTGTGTAGGGTGTGTGTGTGTAGGGTGTGTGTGTATAGGGTGTGTGTGTATAGGGTGTGTGTGTATAGGTGTGTGTGTGTATAGGGTGTGTGTGTAGGGTGTGTGTGTATAGGGTGTGTGTGTATAGGGTGTGTGTGTGTAGGGTGTGTGTAGGGGTGTGTGTATAGAGTGTGTGTGTGTGTGGGGTGTGGGGTGTGTGTGTGTAGGTGTGTGTGTGTGGTGTGTGTGTGTAGGGTGTGTGTGTGTGGTGTTGTGTAGGGTGTGTGTGTGTAGGGTGTGGGGTGTGTGTGTAGGGTGTGTGTGTAGGGTGTGTGTGTGGTGTAGGGTGTGTGTAGGGTGTGGGTGTGTGTGTGTAGGGTGTGTGTGTGGGGGTGTGTGTGTGTGTATAGGGTGTGTGTGTGTATAGGGTGTGTGTGTATAGGGTGTGTGTGTGTGTATAGGGTGTGTGTGTATAGGGGTGTGTGTATAGGTGTGTGTGTATAGGGTGTGTGTGTATAGGTGTGGTGTGTATAGGGTGTGTGTGTAGGGTGTGTGTGTGTGTAGGGTGTGTGTATAGGGTGTGTGTGTGTGTAGGGTGTGTGTGTGTAGGGTGTGTGTATAGTGTGTGTGTGTGTAGGGTGTGTGTGTGTGTAGGTGTGTGTGTGTGGGTGTGTGTGTGTAGGGTGTGTGTATAGTGTGTGTGTGTGTAGGGTGTGTGTGTGTAGGGTGTGGTATAGTGTGTGTGTGTGTATAGTGTGTGTGTGTAGGGTGTGTGTGTGTAGGGTGTGTGTATAGTGTGTGTGTGTAGGGTGTGTGTGTGTAGGTGTGTGTGTGTTGTAGGGTGTGTGTATAGTGTGTGTGTGCGTAGGGTGTGTGTGTGTAGGGTGTGTGTATAGTGTGTGTGTGTGTAGGGTGTGTGTGTGTAGGGTGTGTGTATAGTGTGTGTGTGTATAGTGTGTGTGTGTGTGTAGGGTGTGTGTGTGTGTAGGGTGTGTATGTGTGTGTGTGTAGGGTGTGTGTGTGTAGGGTGTAGGGTGTGTGTGTGTGTAGGGTGTGTGTGTGTGTAGGTGTGTGTGTGTGTAGGGTGGTGTGTGTGTGTGTGGTGTGTGGGTGTGTGTGTGTGTGTAGGGTGTGTGTGTGTGTATAGTGTGTGTGTGTAGGGTGTGTGTGTGTAGGGTGTGTGTATAGTGTGTGTGTGTAGGGGTGTGTGTGTGTAGGGTGTGTGTGTGTGTAGGTGTGTGTTAGTGTGTGTGTGTGTAGGGTGTGGGGTGTGTGTGTGTGGTGTGTGTGTGTAGGGTGTGTGTGTGTGTGTGGGTGTGGGGTGTGTGTGTGTGTGTATAGTGTGTGTGTATAGGGTGTGTGTGTAGTGTGTGTGTAGGGTGTGTGTGTGTGTGGTGGTGTGTGTGTGTAGGGTGTGTGTGTGTGGTAGGGTGTGTGTGTGTGTAGGTGTGTGTGTGTGTGTAGGGTGTGTGTGTGTGTAGGTTGGTGTGTGTGTGGTGGTGTGGGTGTGTAGGGTGTGTGTTGGTGGGTGTGTGTGTGGTGTGTGTGTGTGTGTAGGGTGTGTGTGTGGTGGGTGTGTGTAGGTGTGTGTGGGGTGTGTGGGGTGTGTGTGTGTGTGTGTGTGTAGGGTGTGTGTGTGGGTTGTGTGTAGGTGTATGTGTGTGTAGTGTGTGTGTGTGGGGTGTGTGTGTGTAGGGTGTGTGTGTGGTGTGTGTGTAGGGTGTGTGTGTGTGTGTGTGTGTGGTAGTGTGTGTGTGTAGGGTGTGTGGGGGGTGTGGGGGGGGGCACCTGCGGCTCGGCATGCTACAGGTGCCCCCTCTGGGCTTCACCTCCTTGCGCCTCTTCGGCTGCCCCTAGCGGCAGCTCGCTAGGGGGCAGCTCGCTAGGGGGCAGCCCGCTAGGGGGCAGCCCGCTAGGGGGCAGCTCGCTAGGGGGCAGCTCGCTAGGGGGCAGCCCCCTAGGGGGCAGCTCGCTAGGGGGCAGCCCGCTAGGGGGCAGCCCGCTAGGGGGCAGCCCGCTAGGGGGCAGCTCGCTAGGGGGCAGCTCGCTAGGGGGCAGCCCCCTAGGGGGCAGCTCGCTAGGGGGCAGCCCGCTAGGGGGCAGCCCGCTAGGGGGCAGCCCGCTAGGGGGCAGCTCGCTAGGGGGCAGCTCGCTAGGGGGCAGCCCCTAGGGGCAGCTCGCTAGGGGGCAGCCCGCTAGGGGGCAGCCCGCTAGGGGGCAGCTCGCTAGGGGGCAGCTCGCTAGGGGGCAGCCCGCTAGGGGGCAGCCCGCTAGGGGGCAGCTCGCTAGGGGGCAGCCCGCTAGGGGGCAGCCCCTAGGGGGCAGCTCGCTAGGGGCAGCCCGCTAGGGGGCAGCCCGTTTTAATGGGGGAGGGGAGGGGGAGGGGGGGTCTCTCTTGAACGTGATTCAACGTGACGGATAATTAATTAAATATGTCGGGGAATGGGGGGGGGGGGGGTCACTATGGGATGTCTTGGTGACAACAAAATGAACAATAGTCAAACTGTGATTGTTAAATAATAACTTGATGTGTGTGGGGGGATACACATAATAGCGTTTAGTCCATCACCTTTTTGTTTATTTGAGTCAACAATTGTTTGTTACCTGCTGCTGTGTGTGTGTGTACAAGTAGTTCCGCGTGTGATGTGGCTCCCGGACTATTTTTGTGTTCATTACTTCTGTGTACCTGCTGTGTGTGTGTGTACAAGTAGTTCCGCGTGTGATGTGGCTCCCGGACTATTTTTTGTTCATTACTTCTGTGTACCTGCTGTGTGTGTGTACAAGTAGTTCCGCGTGTGATGTGGCTCCCGGACTATTTTTTGTTTATTTCTTCTGTGTACCTGCTGTGTGTGTGGTGTGTGTACAAGTAGCTCCGCGTGTGATGCGGCTCTCGCATTATTTTTTGTTTATTTCTTCTGCGTACCTGCTGTGTGAGTGTGTACAAGTAGCTCCGCGTGTGATGCGGCTCTCGCACTATTTTTGTTTATTTCTTCTGTGTACTTGCTGTGTGAGTGTGTACAAGTAGCTCCGCGTGTGATGCGGCTCTCTCACTATTTTTTGTTTATTTCTTCTGTATATCTGCTGTGTATGTGTGTGTACAAGTAGCTCCGTGTGTGATGCGGTTCTCGGACTATTTTTGTTAATTTTTTCTGTGTACCTGCTGTGTTGTACAAGTAGCTCCACGCGTGATGCGGCTCTACAAATATTTTGGTCAAAGACACAAAAAAAACACGCAAAAAATTGCGTGCACGTAGGTCGACTCGGCCTCAAATGATCGCACCCGGTGCGTGTTTGTTCAAACATCACAACCAGGGAGACAAAGGCGGCCGGAAGTGGTGGTGCTGCTGGCCACCCACACCCTCTCGTGCGCCGTCACGGCCTTCACAGTTGCTGCTCGCTAACAGCACTTGCCCCAACAGTCTGTTAAGACTATCCGGGTGATCTTTATATTTATATCTACAGAGTGGAGTTCATCGCTTAGCGCGCTGCGCTACGAACCCGGCGATCCGAGTTCGATTCCACTCACGGCCAACAGCAATGGCAGCGAATATCCGAACCGGTCCTGTGCCCTTCCCTTAGGTCGACTCAGCCTTAAATGAGTCACTGGTGCCTATGTAAAACACAAGACTGGGAAGACAAAGGCGGCCGGGCGTGGTGTTGGTCACACACGCACGCCTTACCTTGCGTGCCGTGCCCGTTCGCTAACAGCACTTGCCCCCACAGCCTGTTAAGCCTATACGGGGACTTTGTATTTTGTATATGTACGTGAAGGCTTGCACTGTATGCAGTGTGTCTGTGTATATGCTACATACCACGGGGAGCGGTAGTGTAGCGGTAAGCACGCAGCGCTATGAACCCGGCGACCCGAGTTCGATGCCCTCTCAATAGTCTGTTAAGGCTTTACGGGGGAGCTTTGTCTTTGTATATACTAAATATACGCGTTTCCGTCTGAATGTATTTCGTGCGTTTGTATATATGTGTGTGCACTTGCCCCAACAGTCCGCCAAGGCTACACGGGGGACCTTTCTTCTTTTTCTGTAGTGTAAGCTCGCTTGACGCACCCCCCCCTCCCCCCCCCCGAATCATATAGAACGGCCGATATTTAATCCACGCAGACACGATCAAGGATCAATAATATTAACGTGTTTAAGCAAACAGACAGTCCACCGCCGGCTGCATTAACGAATTAAGTCGTGTTCCTTGGCCACTTATTTTGCCGAGCTGCGTGATATCTGCAGTCAGGGGCACGGTGGCGCACGAAGTGACGTCTCTCCCACAGTGCCACTTCTCCCGGCAGGACTTGTTGTCTGACAGGCAGAGGTCGCAAACGGGGTTTGATTCCTTACCCGTACCCGTACCCGGCCGCACCAGGGTCGCAAATGGGTACCCGTACCCTACCCGAAATGAGTGGCAAACGGTTACTCACCAGTGACTCACGGCCTACCCGTACCGTACCCGGCCGCACCAGGGTCACAACGGGTACCCGTACCCGTACCTGGCCAGGTACGGGTAGCCGGGTATCGGGTAGTGTACGAGTATCGGGTACCCGGTTGCGACCTCTGCTGACAGCTGGAGACACTGAACTGTGGCTCATTTGCAGGCCGATGTAGACAAATTATTATCGAGGCTTCACCCCCTCCCTCCCCCTGTTTCCTATGCGTACATTGTCAGTAGACCCCCACCCCCCCCCATACGCACGCGTACGCAATTGGGTGCCCCCCCCCCTCTCTCCACCCTCTGTGCGTACGAGATGGATGGCCCCTTAGTTGTTCGCTGACAGCCCCGTGTCCAACAATCTGTTGAAGTTGTAGTAACAACTCGAGCAGCGTGGAACGGTTGCGCCAACGTTAAATTCACGTTGGCATCTTCTTGTTTCTTTCGGTAAAGTCACGTAGAAGGGAAGTAATAAAATAATAAAATAAAACATAATAAAACAATTCTCACGACGTTTCGGCTACAACGCAAGCAGCCGTCTTCAGGTGAAGAATGAGACACTACCAAACTAGGAGCTTATATATAAGCTGCATTGGGGGTTGAAGAGCGCCTTAACAAAAAGAATGTGCATGTGAAGAGGGATTTAGCATATTCATGAAAATGCGTAGGCGTTGGGCGGGGGGTGTCAAAGTCATATTATGCCCATGCATTATGCAGGATCAGCAGCAACCAAGGGGGGTGCAGGATTAGCAGTAACAAAGGAAAGGAATGTTAATGATATGTAGCTGCAGTTACTCAACAACACGTAGAAAACTAAAGTATAAACTACATAAAAAACTAAAGTATAAACTGCATCGCACCATCAGTATACTTACTATACTCTATAATAAGCTGAGTTACTAACAGCAAGTAATACATTACAATTTTACCTCGTAAAAATTCTATAATATGCTTCCATCTAAACCTTATTCTCTTACATCACACGAGCATATACCGTACTATATACTGCCATAGATAAACCCAACATTAATTATATACTGTATTGCTGTAAACCAACCTATATCTTATACATTTAATATCACACTATGTATTATTCTACACACCCTAATGTGTATCGAAATGGTTTATTACGTCCTTCCAATGATTGCTGAGCCAGAATCCATCTTCTCGGTTAAAGTTGTCTCTGTGTTTGTATATGTGGAATCGCCTCATGAACGAATCTCTCATGATAGCCAGATGGCTTGCAGAGAACCTCTGTCTTGGAGAAGTCAATATCATGTGAGCCCACTGAGTTGTAACAGTGATCTGCCACGGCTGAGGTGTTAGTCCTACCGTGTTTCAGGTCAGCTTTATGTTCACGGATGCGGTCCGAGACATGTCGTTTGGTTTCCCCAATGTAACTGCTACCACAGAGGCAACTTAGTTTGTAGACGCCAGGGTACTGTATGTCTGGAACCACATCTTTTACAGACGGTACCAGATCACGGACCTGGATCTTGTGTTTAATCAGGATTTTGGAGATCTTTTTTGTGACCCCAGCAATGTAGGGTAAGGTGATGGTCTTGAAAGGCTCCTCAACAGGATCCTTCTTGATGGTTGGAGTGATGGCTTTGCGGATTGTATAGTCGGAGTAACCATTTGCCTTAAGAGCTTGGCGTACGTGTTTGAGTTCACTGGAAATGTGTTCATGGTCGGAGATGCATTGGGCTCTATGATATAGAGTCTTGATGAGGGAATTCTTCTGAGATGGATGGTGGTGGGAATCGGTTTTAGATAAGCATCCGTGTGGGTGGCTTTCCTGTAGACAGAGTGGCTCATTGAACCATCAGGTCTCCTTTGATTAGGACATCCAAAAGGGTAGCTTGCCATCATTTTCGACTTCCATGGTGAATCTGATGGCTGGGTGTATGGAATTGATGTGGTCGAGAAATTGGTCTAGAGCAGGCCGGCCATGTGGCCAGATGACAAAGTGTCGTCTACGTACCTCTTCCATAAGGTCGGGCGTAGAGTGGCAGTCTGGATGGCGTCCGTCTCAAATTTCTCCATGAAGATGTTGGCTACAACCGGAGATAGGGGGGAGCCCATTGGGGTGCCCTCAATTTGCTTGTAGAAGGTTCCATTCCAGGTGAAGTATGTATTGGTTAAGCAGTGTCTCACCAGGGGGGGTACCCCAGCATTCAGTCCTTGATGAACCAAGTCTTCAATGATTGCGATGGTGTCAGGCACAGGTACCTTGGTGAACAAGGAAACCACATCAAAACTGACAAGCAGGTCGTCTGGGGACAGGGCAATCCCCTTGATTGTCGATACCAGGTCAGTAGAGTTTAGTACTGCAGAGGTGGTTTTTCCAGTGAAAGGCCGTAGGATTTCGGACAAAAAACGAGCCAGTTTGTAAGTGGGGGAGTTGATAGTAGAGACAATGGGACGAAGAGGTGTATCTTCTTTATGTATCTTTGGCAAGCCGTACAATCTGGTGGTCTGGCTGCAGAAGGTTTCAACGAGAACTGTTTGGTCTGATCAATTAATGCGGTTGAAGCAGAAATGATGTTGTTGGTTTTGGAGACGAGGCTGTTGGTGGGGTCTCTTTTTATTTTTGTATAGCTGCCATCGTTTAGTAGTTCTTGAATTTTGTTGTTGTATTCTATTTTGTCCATGATGACAGTGGCATTGCCTTTGTCGGCTGAGAGGATGACAATGTCATCCCTCTTTTTTAATTGAGCTAATTCAAAACGCTCC